CTCTAAATTCTATGATTATATTCTAAATGTTAGGACAACATGGTGCTTACTGGCATCACCATTAATGAAATTACCCATCATTTATCTTGCAAAGAAAAAGCTTACAGCAATATGAACAGACCAGGCAGGCCTGAAAATAAGTGTGTGGATTTTTATCATGCCCACAACTCTCTGGTGACACTTTATGATGAATGTGAATGTCTTTGAAAAAAAATTCCAGCTGCCCTGGGCTGACCTGACCTGTCTTTTTGTTTGGGGCTTGGTTACAGTAAACGTGTTGTACTGCAGTGTAATTCTGCAGACTTAGCGTGGAGGTGAAATAAAAGTGTGTGCTTAATAGTGTTGATAAAGATTTTACAAAATGTTCTATTCTCTCTCACCCACCTCGTCACCTTGACCTTGCCCTTGCCCTACACTTCACAGAGAAGGTTCTGAGGGCAGAGGTTCGAGGGCGGTACCAGGTGGGATCTTGCTCAGATTTCATTCCCTCCATCTCGAGGTACCCGTAAAATCTCATTCTTTTTTTTTTTTTTCCCCTGTCATAGCAATGATGTCTCCTGCCAAGGCTAAGTGCTACAAAGCTATAAATTTAAATACTAGATCTCATTTCCAGTTAACAGCACCACCATCTTGATCCAACTCTTCTGCTTCCTTCTCCTCTGTAAAAACACATACTTCAGTCTCTACTCACCCAGTAAAGGGTTTTAGTGACAAAATTCATCTCAACTGTCCTGCTTCTATTGTATGAGAAAATAGAACACACTAATTTTACCGTAGTGTCTCACTTCTCATGACTAGATCCTTAAGAATATCTTTGTAGGGACCAGCAGTTAGCGTAATGGCTATGTCGCTGGACTCCCATGTAGTCGACCGCGGTTCGAGTCCCGGACCCGGTGGCTTAAACTCACGCCGGGCGCGTGTGCGTGCGTGTCCAGGATCCCAAGAGGAGAATGGAGGAGAAGGGATTGCGGCATGGCCATCCGCCCTGGGGGGTGATTTCCTGCTTTCTGTCTCTCTGTCTCTCTCTGTCTGTCTGGCGAGCGCACGCGCCCTATAGCAAAAACCTCTCCAAAAAAAAAAACTTTGTAGTATCCCATTTCATACAGCATTAATCTTAGTCTTCTATGTGCCTCACTCGAAATTGGATAACAAAAACCAAGAGATTTCTTTCTTCCTTAGACTCTCCTGTAAATTTCATTTCCAGGCTTGCTCCAAATTAGGGTAAAGATTATGCGACGTGGGAACCCAAGAGGAAAGGAAGGGGCATTAAGCTCTGTGGAGGCAGTCCACTGAGCCCATTTTTATCCCTGATTTCACACATCCCTATTGACCCAGTGCCTTTCCAGAGCAGTCTCTTCCTCAAGTGGGTGAGTACTGCTATGGTGGCCTTCCTGATCCTGCGTGGCCTACACCTCATCAGCAGGTGCATGTACAGTGCACGTCCACCAGGGCATTTGCTCTCTGGAGCAGCTTGCGCTGTTCTTTCCTTTTCCCCACTGTGAGCACAGGGACTTCCTCTGACCATCTGACTGCTTTAGTCCAAGTTATCAACCTGTCCACAGGATTTCTCCCCAAGGTGGTGTGGTTGGTTTCTATTGTTCATTGTATATGTCTGTTTTTCTCATTTCTTAGAGAAGTTCTTTTCTTTTGCATTTCACTCTGTTCTTTTGAACATAGACCCCAGATATTTCTCACTACCAAAAAAATCTTTCGTATGTTCCTTTCTGTTTTAGCATTGCACAAATATAGTCTAGAGACAAGTAACAAAGGGAATTGTAGTAGAAAGACTAAACACCCAAGATTCATGGAACCTTGACTTTGACTTGCTTTTCTGAGCTGGAACACATTGTATCACTTCTCTGCCTCAGTTTCCTTTTTTGTAAAATGTTTATGAAAAATATGAATCTACTCACCTTCTGGGTTCTGTGAGAATCACTAAACATAATATATGGAAAAATTCCTTGGAAAGGTAAATTGTTTTCATCCTTCTGTGATGAGAGAAGGTTCTGAGGGCAGAGGTTCGAGGGCGGTACCAGGTGGGATCTTGCTCAGATTTCATTCCCTCCATCTCGAGGTACCCGTAAAATCTCATTCTTTTTTTTTTTTTTCCCTTTTCATAGACATAGCAATGATGTCTCCTGCCAAGGCTAAGTGCTACAAAGCTATAAATTTAAATACTAGATCTCATTTCCAGTTAACAGCACCACCATCTTGATCCAACTCTTCTGCTTCCTTCTCCTCTGTAAAAACACATACTTCAGTCTCTACTCACCCAGTAAAGGGTTTTAGTGACAAAATTCATCTCAACTGTCCTGCTTCTATTGTATGAGAAAATAGAACACACTAATTTTACCGTAGTGTCTCACTTCTCATGACTAGATCCTTAAGAATATCTTTGTAGGGACCAGCAGTTAGCGTAATGGCTATGTCGCTGGACTCCCATGTAGTCGACCGCGGTTCGAGTCCCGGACCCGGTGGCTTAAACTCACGCCGGGCGCGTGTGCGTGCGTGTCCAGGATCCCAAGAGGAGAATGGAGGAGAAGGGATTGCGGCATGGCCATCCGCCCTGGGGGGTGATTTCCTGCTTTCTGTCTCTCTGTCTCTCTCTGTCTGTCTGGCGAGCGCACGCGCCCTATAGCAAAAACCTCTCCCAAAAAAAAAAAGAATATCTTTGTAGTATCCCATTTCATACAGCATTAATCTTAGTCTTCTATGTGCCTCACTCGAAATTGGATAACAAAAACCAAGAGATTTCTTTCTTCCTTAGACTCTCCTGTAAATTTCATTTCCAGGCTTGCTCCAAATTAGGGTAAAGATTATGCGACGTGGGAACCCAAGAGGAAAGGAAGGGGCATTAAGCTCTGTGGAGGCAGTCCACTGAGCCCATTTTTATCCCTGATTTCACACATCCCTATTGACCCAGTGCCTTTCCAGAGCAGTCTCTTCCTCAAGTGGGTGAGTACTGCTATGGTGGCCTTCCTGATCCTGCGTGGCCTACACCTCATCAGCAGGTGCATGTACAGTGCACGTCCACCAGGGCATTTGCTCTCTGGAGCAGCTTGCGCTGTTCTTTCCTTTTCCCCACTGTGAGCACAGGGACTTCCTCTGACCATCTGACTGCTTTAGTCCAAGTTATCAACCTGTCCACAGGATTTCTCCCCAAGGTGGTGTGGTTGGTTTCTATTGTTCATTGTATATGTCTGTTTTTCTCATTTCTTAGAGAAGTTCTTTTCTTTTGCATTTCACTCTGTTCTTTTGAACATAGACCCCAGATATTTCTCACTACCAAAAAAATCTTTCGTATGTTCCTTTCTGTTTTAGCATTGCACAAATATAGTCTAGAGACAAGTAACAAAGGGAATTGTAGTAGAAAGACTAAACACCCAAGATTCATGGAACCTTGACTTTGACTTGCTTTTCTGAGCTGGAACACATTGTATCACTTCTCTGCCTCAGTTTCCTTTTTTGTAAAATGTTTATGAAAAATATGAATCTACTCACCTTCTGGGTTCTGTGAGAATCACTAAACATAATATATGGAAAAATTCCTTGGAAAGGTAAATTGTTTTCATCCTTCTGTGATGGTGTTAAATTTATTAAGAACAGCAGTAGTAACGTAACAACATTTCTAATTGCATCTGTGCCTCGTAGCAAGAACGTTTTACCTAAGTGTAATGCAGGTATAGGATATTTCTCCAAACTTAACTACCAGCATTGTAGACACCTTTTCTCTCAGGCAGCCTGTTGGGCAAAGGTCCTGAAGGCCCCTCGACTTTGTTCATAGGTAGAATTGGCATCCCAGTTTATCAGGTACTGCTCTTCACCCCAGCTTAAGAGGAATTCTGGCTGGGAACCAGCAGATGATGTAATATGGCTACACCTCTAGACTCAGAAGTGATTGACTGTGGTTCAAATCCTGGACCCGGTGGCTTGAAACTCATGTTGGGTGCATGTGCATACATGCCCAAAACCCTGAGAGGAGACTGGAGAAGAAGGGATTGTGGCATGGCCATCTTCGTAAGGGGGTGATTTCTTGCTTTCTGTTTCTCTGTCTCTCTCTGTCTCCCTAGTGACCAGCAGTTAGTGTAATGGCTATGTGGCTGAACTACCATGTAGCCGGCCGCAGTTCAAGTCCTGGACCCGGTGATTTAAACTCATGCTGGGAGCGTGTGCGTGTGTGCCCAAGATCCCAAAAGGAGAATGGAGGAGAAGGGATTGCGGTGTGGCCATCCCCCCTGGGGGGTGTTTCTCACTTTCCGTCTCTCTGTCTTTCTGGTGGGCGCAAGCGCCCTATAGCAAAAACCTCTCTCTGTCTCTCCAGTGAGCACAGATGCCCTATAGCAAAAATATCTCTCTTTAAAAAAAAAGGATCTGGCTGAAGATACCTCTTAGTGCCTTAAAAGTGATCGAGACTGACGTCTGGGCTACCTAGCCATGTGCTGATGTTCCTTGTTCTTTGGGTATTTCACCTTCCTGAAGACGCTGAGTAAAAGTACTCAGTGGTCAGAGCCTCCCTGAATAAAGCTTAACAGTTCCCTTTTCAAGATTTTCCACTAAAGATGTCGGGGTAGATTGGCCCTTCACTACACACCTTTGTGGGATTTTTTTTTTTTTTCAGACTAGCAGACTAGCAATTTTGTAGTGTGTTAAAGTTGTATGAGGATTTTTATAGCACTATTCAGTGGAGCTAGCAATGAATTCTGGGAGACATAGTACTATTTTCAAGGACACAGCATTTAAGCATGATGCTTCTCTGTGCCTGAAAATGTAAACTCTCCTTTCAGATGTGGCTACCACCTCTTTTTGTTTGCAATCCCTCTTTCTTGAGTCAGCAGCTTGGTCCTGGTCAGGGCAGGCTAGGTTAGCAAGCTTCACAAAGACCTCTGTAAGAGGCATTCTTTCATTTTTCATTTTTAATCTGGAACTTTCCTGTGGAATAGCTGCATGTCATCACTGTGTTTTTCTCTGTTTAATACTCTTCTCTTTTTCCTCTGCCTTAGGACGGCCGTCTGCGAGTGAATGACCAGCTGATTGCAGTTAATGGGGAGTCTCTTTTGGGAAAGTCCAACCACGAAGCTATGGAAACACTTAGACGGTCAATGTCCATGGAAGGAAACATACGAGGGATGATCCAGTTGGTGATTCTGAGGAGGCCAGAGAGACCAACAGAGGTGATGCAAATCTCAGTTTTCTTCAACAAACTGCCCAAATGGCCACCAGAATATGCAAACTGCCTTTACTAATATGGTAGTTAGGCTTATATTCATTCTGCAGTTGAGAAAATATAGTTCAGATGGTTTCTAATGGGTTGATGTGGGGAACAGGTGGTTGTATATTGCAGCTGTAACTAGAAGGTGTAAGAATGTGTGTAAAAAGAAAATAATTCATCAGATGTAACCAGTCCGTATTTTCTGGTTTTTTGTGTTTTTTTTTCCCAGAAATTCCTAGAGTTCTGGACTTATTTATAGATGTCCTTATATCCTTTTTAGTTAATGTAGTAGCAATGTTCAGAGCTTAGAACGTTCTGACTAAGATGTACACAGCATGTAATATAAAATTATTAGAATGCCACTCCCTCTCTCTGCTCTCCCACATAACCTGCAAATAGATTATCTATACCTGAGACTTAACTAATTTAAAATGTGATCTCTTTAGCAAGCTCCTTGCTTCATATTATCCAATAAGTAAAAGTCTAATTTTAAAAAATCTTTTATGAGGATTTCTTTTGGGATCTTTTTAAGTGTGTTTATTATTGGGGAGTGGGCAGGGTCTTGTCACAGCTTGGTTCTCCCCCTCGCCTTCTAGCCATTCAGGATCACAGATCCATCCGATGTGTTTGATTGACCTAGATTCTAAATTCCAGGCTTTCTCACGTGGCCCCAGTATTGCACAGCAGGGCCCTATTGCCCACGCTATTGTGGCTGTGTCTCTTCAAGTTTTATTTTGTTTTCTCAAAATGTCAGGAATATATTCACTTATACATGAAGTATAAGCATATAATATTCTCGAGTGCTAATATTTCTAAACATTTCATTTCCATACTAATAATAAATGTTTTTAACATATTAATTTCCCTTATATATGAAAAATAATTGTCAAGTGCTACTAAAAATGATTTTAGGAACACATAAGAAGAAAAGAATAATAGTTTTTTTTTTTTTTTTAAACTTTTGCCATAGGGCATGTGTACTTGCTGGATAGAGACAGAGAGAGAGGGGAAATGGAAAAACCCCCCCCCCCCCGGGGGATACCATGTACAATCCCTTTTCCTCCATTTTCCTTCAGGAAATTCTGGGTATGCACACACGCCGTTAGCATGTTCCCCAAGCCACTGGGTCTGGGGGAACTACAGAGTAAACCGTATGAGATCTGGTACCTTAACCAAATATGCCACCTGCTGGCCCATGATTCATAGTTTTTAAAACTATGGGGCTAGCAGATGGCATAATGGTTACGTTGCTGGACTCCCATGTAGTCGACCATGGTTGGAGTCCTGGACCCAGGGGCTTAAATGCACACTGGGTGTGCATGCCCCAAATCCCAAAAGGATAATGAAGGAGAATGGATTGTGGTGTGGCCATTCTTCCTGGGGAGGTGATTTCTTGCTTTCTGTCTTTCTGTCTCTCCCTATCTCTCTGGCGAGCACATGTGTCTATGACAAAAATCTCTCTAAAATAAAAAAGCTAATAAGCATATTGGCAAATCAATAACATGTTCTCATGTCAGGATATTATCTAAAGCCAAATTATATTTGTATATTATAATTTTATTTCTTTTTTTTTTGGAGAGGTTTTTGCTACAGGGCATGTGCGCTCACCAGACAGAGAGAGAGAGAGAGATAGAAAGCGAGAAATCCCCCCCCAGGGAAGATGGTCACGCCGCAACTCCTCCATTCTCCTCTCAGGACCTTGGGCACACACGCACACATGCCCGGCGTGAGTTTAAGCCACCGGGTCCGGGATTCGAACCGCAGTCATCTACGTGGGAGTCTAGCGACATAGCCATTACGCTAACTGCTGGTCTCCCAAATTCTATTTGTATATTATAATTACATGCAAAGTAAAAATAGAATACTATTGGGGCCAGCATGTGGCATGGTGATTAAGATGGCTGGTTAAGGGACCAACAGTTAGCGTAATGGCTGTGTCGCTGGACTCCCACATGGTCAACAGCGGTTCACATCTCGGACCCAGTGGCTTAAACTCACGCCGGGCTCATGTGTGCGCATGCCCAGGATCCTGAGAGGAAAATGGAGGAGAAGGGGTTGCGGTGTGGCCATTCTCCCTGGGGAGTGATTTATCGCTTTCTGTCTCTCTGTCTCTGTCTGTCTGGTGAGTGCATGCACAATATAGAAAAAAAAAAAAAAGAAAACACCTGATGGCTGGTTACCACATGACTGACAGAGGTTCAAGTCCTGGACCCAATGCCTTGAAAAAAACACACTGGCATGTGTATGCACATACCCAAAATCTTGAAAGTAGAATGGAAGAGAAATGATTGTGGTGTGGCCATGCCCCCAGGGGGTACTTTCTCACTTTCTCTCTCTCTGTCTCTTTCTGGTAAGTGCAGCCTATAGCAAATCAAAAGAAAAGAAATGGGAAAAAATAGTATGCTATTAAAAATAATATTTAAAATACAACTTTTTTTTAAAGTTTTTTGTCATAGGGCATATGTACTTGCCAGAGAGACAGAGAAAGTAAGAATGACAAATCACTCCCCAGGAGAGATGACCACATGGCAATCCTTTTTCCTCCATTCTCTTGGAATATTAGACATGCATGCATATGTGCCTGGCATGATTTTCAAGCTTCCAGATCCAGAACTTGAACCACACTTGGCCAAGTCCAGCACCTTAAACATCATGTCACCTGCTTGTCCCTAAACCATGAGTTATAATAATAATAAGCTCTGGGACCAGCAGATGCCATATGGTTATGTTGATGGACTCACACATGGCCCACAGCAGTTGGAGTCCTAGACCCAGTGGCTTGAAAATCACGCCAGGTGCATATACGTATATGCCCAAAATCCCCAGAAGAGAATGGAGGAGAAGGAAATTACACTGTGGCCATCCCCCTTCAGTGGGTGATATCTCACTTTCCCTCCTGCTGTTTCTGTCTCTCTCTCTCTCTCCGGTGAGCACATGTACCCTAAGGCAAAAACCTCTACAAAAATTAATTAATAATAAGCTCAACTTAAAAATACAAAAATTAACAAATTAAACAAAAGTAGATGGTGGCAGGAATCATTGTAATTAAAAGCTCAGGCTCTTGAGTTTTAGATTGTTGGAGTTAAAGTCCTTGATTTACCATATTCTGACTATATTTTTTTTATATAATAGTTGGGTGTATAATACTTGTAGATGATAGGTGCCATGGTCTGTTTTATCCTTTAATGTATCCTCATTTCTCAGTATAGTAGATACTTAATAAAATTGTTGAATGAATGAAAAAACTGCATCTGATATCTACTTTACCTAAAAGGGTAAACTTGAGTAGTAAAGTGATGAAGTCTAACTTCGTTATATTATCAGCCATTGGAAAGCAGTAACTGTACCTTTTCTATTCTTCTGTATATAACCTTGTCGATGTTAAATAAATGTAAATTGGCCAATTACTGGAGACTATATATAATGAACGAACTCATTTTCAACATTTGCGTCTGCTTAAATGACAGTGTCTTCCATGAATATTTAATGAACTTTACTTAATGTACATAATTATAATACCCTTATCTACTGCTTCTTACCATGAGAGAATTGGATCTTTCTGGTTTCATTTCATGCTTACTCTGGAGCCCTCTTATTCATGGAATGTTCCTTGGAAAGAGCTGGAATAATGGCCTGTGGTTCCAAGTCATCCCTTCTGTGTATCTGCCCAATGTATTAGATCTCTGTCAAGATTTCTTTGACAAAGACACCCAACTAATGGTATACCCTAGTATACCATACCTATGCAGACTTGGGAAAAAAAAAAAAAAAGAGAGAGGGAGAGACCAGCAGGTAGTGTAATGGCTACATCACTGGACTCTCATGTAGTCAAGTGCGGTTCGAGTCCCGGACCCAGTGGATTAAACTCACACTGGGAGCATGTGTGTGTGTGTGCCCAAGATCCTGAGAGGAGAATGGATCATGGTGAGGCCATCCCCCCTAGGGGATGATTTCTCACTTTCTGTATCTCTGTCTCTCTCTGTCTTTCTGGGGAGCACATGTGCCCTATAGCAAAAAAAAAAACAAAAACAAAAACAAGAAATGAATATAAGCCTACAAGAGTTAGTCATGCCCCCACTTATCATCTTCCCTAATTCCATATCTTTTTCTGAAATGTGCATGGATGCTAATAATTTGGTGTTGTGTATTTTAACTCTGGGGTGACTTGACATTGTTCCATCAGAAGGAAGTACTAAACTTTCAGTTCATGGCCCATCCTCAGAAGTATATTGTTAATATATTTCACCAGGGAATCAATCAGGAATAAGATCTGGGGCAAAAAGCAATTTTTATGAGGACATTTTAACAGATCCATTTTTAGTTTCCCTAATATTTACATGCTTTCCATGGGGAATGAGCAGGCACTTGACTCTCAGCTATTGAGAATCTCTGTGGTACCCGCAAAGATTAAAGAGCATTATTTCTTATAAAGACAGCAGCCTAATGTACAGCTTATCTTTATTAAACTGAAAAAAAATGCAGCTTTTTGATCTCCCAAATCTGTGTTTTACTGTGTCAAAGCATATGCTATATTCTCATGTTTTTGGTGTATTTTCCTGCAGAACAGAAATCACCCTTTGGTATAATAAAAAATCATCTATAACCTAGAAAAAGGTCTCAGTCCTGCTCATACTTCCAGGCAAATCAATTAGTTAGATTTGGCAAGAATACTAAAATGGTTGATTGAACACTATATTGATATTTTTAAAATTGAAAGAGCTCCTTTAGAAAAGTCAAAATATACAGTTGCTGGGTTTTTTTCCCACATTACCCAGATGTACAAGATACGTAAACAGTTTTGATGAGGACCTCATGAAGAATACATAATGAGCCCTTGATTGAATCAAAACCTTTTTAAACAGAAACATCTTTTTCAAAGGATGAGCTTGAGGTTCAATTGTAATTCTATTTGAGCCTAGAGACTTAGTATTAAAAAATGGGTTATGACCTGGTTTTGTTTTTCTCTTCCCCAAAACATTTCCCTCCCTGCCGCCAGCTCATCTTAGTAGAAGCAGAATATGTTTAAGAATCCATTATATTTTTTATTGGCTGGGACACTAATGGAGGGCTCCATGACAGCTCTATTTTACAGGCTGAATACTTTAATTAGGCTGGTTACTGATCAGTTGTTTGGATATGTATTGTGTCATTTATCAAAGAGCTTGGAAAGCAGGACAAAAAAATGTTCAGTTCTTGTTGTTATGGTTAAATCAAAGCAGAAGACTGTGTAAGGCAGGTGCTGCCTTTCCTGCCTGCTAGGCCTCAGCTTTAATTTAGGAATAGCTTGCCTCCTGTAGCAGGCTCAGCTTAACTGGCAGTCCAGACGCTCAGGGTGATGTCTTGGGTATTGGAAAAATGTTATAGGTATAAACCTTGACCGAAAGTTGAAGGATCTTTAGCTGCTAAAAACTTGTTAATTGTTAAGAATGTGTGGATTTACTATTTTAAATATTTTGTTTAGTTAGCTAGATACTAACATTTTTGTAACTAAAGTGGAAAATATAAGTCAAATGCATTGCTGGAGCCATATGCTTTTCTCTGAAGGAAAGAGCCATGGGGATCAGATCTGTGTCTCTGTTTGTGACATGTTCCTTTCTCACATGGTCAAGGGAACAGCCACAAAATGACTTCCAAATTATTTATTCCTTGAAATCTGTTAGGGAGGCAGACAGAGACTAAACCCAGTCTCTGTGCCTTAATCCTCTTGAAAATGTAGCTAGAATTCTTTATCCTGGCCCCCTCCTATTATTTCTTCAGCACCTGTGAGAAATGGCTTGTAGGGGTGTTATTCTGGATACAGTAGTTTTAAGAAAACTGTCAATTTTGTTTACAGACTGTCAAAATAAGTAGAGGTAATATGGAAAAAAGAAACAGCATCTCAGAAGAACCACTGGCTGGCATTGTCACAGTGGTTTGTTTTAGCCTCTGTCTCTCTCTGTCTTTCTGGGGAGCACATGTGCCCTATAGCAAAAAAAAACAAAAACAAAAACAAGAAATGAATATAAGCCTACAAGAGTTAGTCATGCCCCCACTTATCATCTTCCCTAATTCCATATCTTTTTCTGAAATGTGCATGGATGCTAATAATTTGGTGTTGTGTATTTTAACTCTGGGGTGACTTGACATTGTTCCATCAGAAGGAAGTACTAAACTTTCAGTTCATGGCCCATCCTCAGAAGTATATTGTTAATATATTTCACCAGGGAATCAATCAGGAATAAGATCTGGGGCAAAAAGCAATTTTTATGAGGACATTTTAACAGATCCATTTTTAGTTTCCCTAATATTTACATGCTTTCCATGGGGAATGAGCAGGCACTTGACTCTCAGCTATTGAGAATCTCTGTGGTACCCGCAAAGATTAAAGAGCATTATTTCTTATAAAGACAGCAGCCTAATGTACAGCTTATCTTTATTAAACTGAAAAAAAATGCAGCTTTTTGATCTCCCAAATCTGTGTTTTACTGTGTCAAAGCATATGCTATATTCTCATGTTTTTGGTGTATTTTCCTGCAGAACAGAAATCACCCTTTGGTATAATAAAAAATCATCTATAACCTAGAAAAAGGTCTCAGTCCTGCTCATACTTCCAGGCAAATCAATTAGTTAGATTTGGCAAGAATACTAAAATGGTTGATTGAACACTATATTGATATTTTTAAAATTGAAAGAGCTCCTTTAGAAAAGTCAAAATATACAGTTGCTGGGTTTTTTTCCCACATTACCCAGATGTACAAGATACGTAAACAGTTTTGATGAGGACCTCATGAAGAATACATAATGAGCCCTTGATTGAATCAAAACCTTTTTAAACAGAAACATCTTTTTCAAAGGATGAGCTTGAGGTTCAATTGTAATTCTATTTGAGCCTAGAGACTTAGTATTAAAAAATGGGTTATGACCTGGTTTTGTTTTTCTCTTCCCCAAAACATTTCCCTCCCTGCCGCCAGCTCATCTTAGTAGAAGCAGAATATGTTTAAGAATCCATTATATTTTTTATTGGCTGGGACACTAATGGAGGGCTCCATGACAGCTCTATTTTACAGGCTGAATACTTTAATTAGGCTGGTTACTGATCAGTTGTTGGGATATCGATTGTGTCATTTATCAAAGAGCTTGGAAAGCAGGACAAAAAAATGTTCAGTTCTTGTTGTTATGGTTAAATCAAAGCAGAAGACTGTGTAAGGCAGGTGCTGCCTTTCCTGCCTGCTAGGCCTCAGCTTTAATTTAGGAATAGCTTGCCTCCTGTAGCAGGCTCAGCTTAACTGGCAGTCCAGACGCTCAGGGTGATGTCTTGGGTATTGGAAAAATGTTATAGGTATAAACCTTGACCGAAAGTTGAAGGATCTTTAGCTGCTAAAAACTTGTTAATTGTTAAGAATGTGTGGATTTACTATTTTAAATATTTTGTTTAGTTAGCTAGATACTAACATTTTTGTAACTAAAGTGGAAAATATAAGTCAAATGCATTGCTGGAGCCATATGCTTTTCTCTGAAGGAAAGAGCCATGGGGATCAGATCTGTGTCTCTGTTTGTGACATGTTCCTTTCTCACATGGTCAAGGGAACAGCCACAAAATGACTTCCAAATTATTTATTCCTTGAAATCTGTTAGGGAGGCAGACAGAGACTAAACCCAGTCTCTGTGCCTTAATCCTCTTGAAAATGTAGCTAGAATTCTTTATCCTGGCCCCCTCCTATTATTTCTTCAGCACCTGTGAGAAATGGCTTGTAGGGGTGTTATTCTGGATACAGTAGTTTTAAGAAAACTGTCAATTTTGTTTACAGACTGTCAAAATAAGTAGAGGTAATATGGAAAAAAGAAACAGCATCTCAGAAGAACCACTGGCTGGCATTGTCACAGTGGTTTGTTTTAGCTCCTGGCCAAAGACCTTGTGTCTGCAATGGACACATTCATGGCCTTGCAGTGGCAAACCTGCTTGGGCTCTGTCTTGTCCTAGAGCATATGTACTTAGTTGTGGAGAGGGAGAGAGAGAGGACCCAGCTGGTTGGCAGAGAAACACCCTTGGCATGAACTGCACGCTTGTGTTGACATTGCCACAAGCTGTACTCCCAGATGGAAGGAAATTTGAAAGAAGCCAGTCGTAAATGGGGGGAAGGATAACAAAGTTAATCTTCCTCGTGTTGGCTATCAGCACTTCTAATCCTTAGCACCACATTGTCAGTTTTTTCTTTTTTTTTCATATTCTTAGATGTTTGAATTGATGGGGCCATTTTGATTTTCCATAGTTGAAGACTTACATGGAGTAGATTCTTGAAAGATTTTGAGAATTCATCATTCTTTCTCTTTCCTTCAGTCGTCCAGCTTAGAACACATTAATGAAAGCAAATGTAATTTTTATGTTCGTCTCTTAGGAACCTGTAGAGTGTGGGGCATTTTCCAAGCCAAGCTTTGAGAACTGTCAAAACGCTGTAACTGCCTCCAAGCGAAATGATAATAGTACCCTGCCTCTCTTTGGCACTTACAGTCCGCAAGATAAACAGAAAGGTAAGAATCTCTCTATTTTTATCTATTGCAAATGGAGTAAGAAAACTCAAAAGTGCCTTTTTATTAGGTTAAAAAAAAGGGCAGGGGGAGGGAGTTAATTAGACTAAGTGGAGATTTTGCTGCTCAGAGTCATGAGCACCGAGAAATGGTGGAAGAGCTGACTCAGAACTTGTGAATCAGATTCCTGGCAGAGCCTCCAGCTGAAGTGACAGTTTCTGTGCTTGCTGCCCCAAACATAGAGGGTTATGTATAAAACAAATCATGACTGAAGAATCAAAGAAAGCAAACTGTTAATTTTTTTCATGATCTTTTAATATTGGAAGTTACCAGGTATAAGTACTAAAGCTTAAAAAATGAATGGACTTTTATTAAACCATAAAATATTTGTAACATGATTCAAACATTTATTCTTCTTTTATTTTTTCTTTTGTAGAGATTTTTGCTAAGGGTACATGCACTTATCAGAGAGACAAAGAGATAGAAAGCGAGAAATCAACCCACAGGGGAGTTCGCCATGCCACAATCCATTCTCTTCTCAGGATTTTGGGCACACACACATGCCCAGAGTGAGTTTCAAGCCTCCACACCCAGGATTCAAACCACAGCTGGCCACATGGGAGTCCAGCGATGTAACCATTACATCATCTGCTTCTGCTGGTCCCTTATGCTTCATTCTTAACCGTTGTTTTTTTAAGAAAGAGGTTCTTGCTGTAGAGTCTGTGCACTTGCCAGAGAGACTGAGAGAGACAGAGAGATAGAAAGTGAGAAATAACTTCCCAAGGGGATGGCCGTGCCACAATCCCTTCTCCTCCATTCTCCCCTCAGAATCTTGGGCATGTGTGCACAGATGCCTGGCGTGAGTTTTAATTTGCTGGGTCCAGGACTTGAACCACAGTCGCCTATGTGGGAGTCCAGCAATGTAACCATTATGCTTCCCGCTGGTCCCCCTTATGCTTCATTCTAAGATGGGTGTGGAAGATAGGTAAATACCAAAACCTAAGCACATTATGTGGCTATTAAAATGTTCTTCCTGTTGTCTTGCTCCACTGTCTTCCCCTTATTGTCTGGTACCTATCGCATGTCTAGTAGTACTTCAGATTTAAAAACCTGAGTTTTTTGTTTTTCAAAAATTATATTTTAGGTCACCAAGAACATTTTTGTCTATCATGCTGTATCTTTTTTCTTTAGTAACTTTCATTATTTATATTGTAAAGTCAGTATATATGTATTGGACAAAATTTAGAAAAAAGTGATAAAAGGAAAATTTAATATTACTCATACTTCTAGCTATCAACAATCAATGGAATTTTTGTGTATATCTTTCAAGTACTTTTCACATATATATGTGTACATGGAATGAAATGTTTATAATGTTTATGGAATTTCTTTCTTTCATTTTTTTCTTTTTTTTTTTTTTTAAGATTTTATCTATAGAGCATGTGGGCTCACCAGAGAGGAAAGAGACAGAGACAGTGAGAGGGAAAGTGAGAAATGACCCCTTCAGAAGGGGATGGTCATGTTGTAATCCCATCTCCTCTTCCATTCTCCTCCTGGGATTTTGAGCAAGCATGCACATGTGCCCGGTATGATTTTCAAGCCATCAGGTTTGGGACTTGAACCATAGTCGGTCATGTGGGAGTTGAGCACTTTAACCACTATACCACCTGCTGGCCTTTGAAATCACTTTCTTATAGTACCATGTGAGCATCTTAATGTGTCATTGAATCTCCTACAGCATCACAGTCTGCGGTTGTATAGTATTCTATTGAACGAGATACTGTATATTATGTAATCAATCTCTTTCATTTTGGATACTTAAAATGTCTCCAAAATTTAGCTACACGAAAATAAATTCCAGACTCTGAGATTACTCCATCAGAATGGATTTGTAAATCTGAAATTGCACTGGAATTAAATTGAATCTTCAGAATGTCATGTTGCTTTTCCTTCTGAATTCCTCCATTTCAGCAGAGTAGTAGCAGCAGCTGTTACCATTTATTAAGTGTTTACTGTCTGTTAGATACTGTGTTAAGCAATTTACATGCACACTTGAAGTGGGTAATATTATTATCCTCATTTTACAGATGAAGAAGTAGAAGGTCAGCAAGAGTAAACAATTTACTCAAGACTGAATACTTGATACATACAGAGCTTGAATTCAATTCATGTCTCTCTGACTTAAGTTCATCTCCTAAACCACAGCATGGGCCCTTGCTTACACTGGTTCTTTGAAACTTTTTTTAAAGAGATTTTTGCTATAGGGTATGTGTGAGGGAGAAATCACCCCACTCCCAGTGGGGATAGCTATGCCACAGTCCCTTCTCCATTCTCCTCTCAGAATCTGGGATACACACACATGCATGCAAGCATACATGCCCAGTATAAGTTTTAAGCCACCAGGCCTGGGAGTCGAACCATGGTCAACTATCTAGTGATATAACCAGTACACTATCTCCCTGACCCAGTTCTTTAAAACTTTTAAAGTCCTTTCACCTAATACTAAGAATGCCCATTAAAAGTTGACTTTGCTTTGCATCCAGATAAATACTCAATATGGTGGGACCAGCAGTTAGTGTAATGGCTATATCGCTGGACTCCCATATAGTCGACCGCGGTTCGGGTCCTGGATTCGGTGGCTTGAACTCATGCCGGGTGCATATGCGTGCATGCCAAGGATCCCGAGAGAAGAATGGAGGAGAAGGGATTGCGGCGTGACCATCCCTGCTGGGGGGTGATTTCTCATTTTCTGTCTCTCTGTCTCTTTCTGTCTTTCTGGCGAGCACACGAGCCCTATAGGAAAGACCTCTCAAAAAAAAAAAAATACTCAATATGGTTTTGTATGTTTCTTTTTCCTGATCTTGAAGAAACTACTAGTTTTCTAGCAAGAGAGTTTGGGGAAAGAACCGCAAGTTTTCTACATAATACAGCCGAGTTCTTTGTACTATGCCCAAGTTATGATCATGCACAGTGACATTTGTATTAAAAATTCCAACTGTTTGGACTAGATGGTAGCACAGTAGTAAAACAGGATGTCTGTGAGACTGACCCCCATGGGAAGGCTCCACTTTATCTCCAGGGACGTACCCCTCCCTGGGGATGCCTGGCAGATGTGCGCCCATAATCTGGGGCTGGTTAAGGCTTTGAGTGGATCACAGAGTTGAGACCCTGTTGGAGCTGCTGTCTTTCTCTTTTCCTCAATGATAGAAGAAATGAATAAACTTTGAAAAAAAAAAAGGAAAGATCTAGCCTTTATATAATTGGATTGGTATTTAATGCACAAGCAATATGTGGTCCAGTGACCATTTAAGTTTAGGGTTTATTCCTAATTAGACCCGTGACATCCAAAGGAATATTGGGCACAGTATGTGCCATCTTGATTCATCTTCAATACCTATTCTATATTGATGCTGATGTGATATTCACACCACATAATCTTAGAGGACGTTAGAAACTCAAGTAGATGAGATAATGTCTCTAGAGGAGAGAATAGCCAAGGCTAAAATAATAAACTGTAGAATGAGTGAAAATGTAAAGATAAGCTCAGGAAAAAAAATTTAATAATAAAATCTACTCAAGGCACATTACTAAAAATAAAATAAAGTCATACTTTGGAAGTTTAATAGAATGTTCAGACGTTGTATTTCCACTAAACAAATAGTCTTTTGGGCACAAATGGCCACAGGCAACCACTGACAGGTGTTGTTTCTTCTCCTGAGATTTGGTTCCAAGTAGAAAGACAATTACACCAATGAAAACACCAAGCAGATCAGCTATCTACAAGGCTCCTGCTTCACTCTCTCCCTACCTTGTTTTCTCAAGTTAACATAAACAATCCTGTTCTTTCAAGAAGTAACCACACTGCACATAACTTTTAAGTTAAAAAAAAGTATTGCTGCTATTTCCTTGTGGATCTGTAAAGCAGTAATAGATAAGGCCCATCAGAGAATTATGCTCATTAAATTTTAATTGACAGAGGCTACTAGATGAAATTCTCTTACTTTTTGGATGAGCCTACTGATTTATGGACAGAATATAGCAGAATTTATGAACATGACTCTTTAGAAGAATATCACAATCATTGTCTCTTTGTAATATTCATAATATGTTGTACTATGAGAACCCTCAGGAGGTCCTGTGACTCAGATCCATGTATGGCAGTAACTGACCTCTAAAACTTTTGAAACCTGAATGTTGACTCACCACCATTAAGGACCTCATTTAGAAAAACAAGATTAACTTGACAAAATGTAATGTCTAGTGAGGAGAGGACCTGTTACAGCCAAAACATTCACTCCTTTTTTCCTACCCTTTTCCCTTCCCTTTGTATATTTAAAAATCCAATGTTTATATTCTGTGTTCCATCTATTTTTATAATAATAGTATATACCACCCACAGTTCTCCAGTTATTTTATTTTTAAAAAAGATTCTTTCAAGCTGCTACACAGAAAAGGCATTTTTAGAAGTAATGGTTGTAGAAATTGTAACAACAGAAAATTCACATTTGTGTTGGAGAATTGCTAGCAGTGCCCATAGTGGAATAGGTGTGATGCTGCAAGATGGCAATAAGGACAGAGCTTGTGTTCCTGGAGTTCACTATGAAATCCCGTTAAGCACTGGAACGGTAATGAAGTGCACCAACACAGTATTTTCTGAGGCATCACGCTGGCAGATCTCACATGGAGCCTCATAATCACCCAAGCACAATTTGCTGCCAGTTTGTCATTACCTCTCCTTTCTTGCTGTCATCTCTTCTTGTGTGTGTGTGTGTGTGTGTGTGTGTGTGTGTGTGTGTGTGTTTCTCTGTTCCCACACCCCTGCCAGCTCCAGAGCATCCTGCCTACTCACTGCCTCCAGATCTGCCAAGCCTCATCCACTGATTTGGGCCTTCCATCCCTAGCCTTTATATAATTGGATTGGTATTTAATGCACAAGCAATATGTGGTCCAGTGACCATTTAACTTTAGGGTTTATTCCTAATTAGACCCGTGACATCCAAAGG